TTTATTGCTTCATGATATCTTACATCTTTGAACATTAAAATGAAATTCAAAACTAGTTATTTTTAAATCAAAATGATTTCTTATAAATAATATTTAAAAATATATTTTAGCATTAATTATTCAATCAATATTAAATAAATTTTATGCTTGTAATATTATTAAGTTGTAATATTAATTATAAATGTATATAATAATAATATAATATAATAATGTATATAATAATGATTCTTTATTGAATTTAGATAAAAACAAAGTTTTGAATTTCATTTAGTATCATATTAAATATAATATTATTATTGTCAAATATAAGTGAATACATTAATTTGTTTAATAAACAAAAATCTTATTATCTAGCGATATGTAATATACATATAAGTATACTATTATCTAAAAGTTTAATCATATAATTAATATATGTAAAAATAAAAAAAAAAAAGTACAATTAATAAATATTATATAAAAATAAAATAATATTAATATGTATTATTATAATACAAATTGTAATATTAATGTATTTTATTTAACAAAATTATCTCAACTAAAGTAAAATCAAAATTTTAATTCTAAAATTATTTGAATATATTATATTCACAATATAATGTGATATTACACTTTTTATATAAGTTGTTATTTTTTATTGTCTTATATATTATTAAAAGCAATATCAAAAGTATTTTTGATACTCGACGTATTGCAATTTTTAAAAAAAAATTATATATTATTTTTATACAATAGATTAAGCTTTTGGATAATAATATGTAAGAATCATTTACAGATATTTCTGCTAAATTGATAAATTTTGTTCATTTAATTTTTACTTAAATCTTAAATATACAATTTTAATAAACACTAAATCAAATATTTGATCTTAAACTGAGATCTATATTTTCTTAAATCTTATAAATGCCACAAATATATATTTTATAATACTTATACAGAGAAATATGTATCATTGTTATATCAATTTATCGTTTTTTAAAATATTTAAGAGATGACACATCTTTTAATAATAATTGAAATATTGATTTATTATATTTTATTTTTGCATAAAACAGTTTATATTTGTTTTTTTAAAGAATTTAATATAATATAGTTAATTATATATAACAGTTTGGTTTATATATTTTTCAAAAAAACTATAAATCCTGATAACAATTTTTTATTTTTTTTACGATTAATTGAAATATAATTCTTTCCAACTGAAAGAATTATTTATATTACATATAAGTAAAATATTAATTATGATTTTATAATCATAATTATTTATTAATATTATTTTTTAATGTTAATTAATATTTAAAAAAAATTAAAACAAAAAATATAAAAAATGTAATAGAATATTTTGTGCGTATATATAAATTGGTTGAAATTCATTAGAAATATTCCTAATATCTATCTTATAAATAAAATAATTTTTTTAATACATATTCGAAATATAGTGTTTAAATATATAATCTAAAATATTATATTCCACATATTTTATCAGAATATACTTATATTAGTAAAATTATTTTTTATTTTAAGTTTTGCGATTAATAATAAAAAAGTTAATTAAAAGTTCAATTTTAAAATATGTATCAATGCATCAAGCATTCTCAATGAGTCTGAATCATATCATAATATGATCAGATGATATCAATATTGATTGTCATTTTTTTATATTAAATATTTTTAAAAAATATTATTATAAAGAATTTTGTAATGTAAATATTGTAATGTTTTAGAATAATTTTTATGTGAATATGAATTATAGCAAAATTTTATTTCATATTATATTTATTTCATTATTGTGCTTGATTTAATGATACATAAGTAAAATTTTAAATTCAAATATGTTTTAAAATAAATAATAAAATAAAAATGAATAAACATTATTATAGACATTCTATTGTATGACATTTTCTATTCTCTATCATATGAGAACATGGTTTGCTTTTTGGACCAACAGATTGAATTTTGACTGTTCTTGTTCTGTATTGTGATGCTTTTCCACAAGTTGCTGTACAATGTGACCAACTAGACCATTGTGTCATTTTGCAATCAACTGAAACTAATTTTGATAATTATATAATATTACATTTATTTGAGTGAGTTAATTTTAAGCCATTTTTAAATATTGTTTTTTCTTTATATTTAGAATTTTTTCATAAATAGTTCATTTTTATACCGAATTATTATTTTTGATAAATTTTAATTAATATTAAAATTGTCTATTTTAATGATTCGAAAATTTTTCTTAGTATATATATAATTAGATGAATTAGGTTTAAGGAAAAGTGTTTTTATATTCATAAGTTATTCATGCTCTGTATACTTACTATTGTTATTGAAAATATAGATATCAGATTTAAGTTTTAATTAGTTTTAATATTGGCTTTAAAATCATTTATAGAATAAAAACTTAATAAAAAATTTTCTCAAAATAGCTTTGAGAAAATTTCTAAAATATTATAAATATTGCCTTAATAATGAAAAATTAAAAAATATTCAACTATAATTATTTAACATAATAAAGAATAATACAATTTTAATTATACAATTATACAATAATTATACAATTAATCAATACTTACTTTGATTTTCTTCTCTTCCCGAATATCGATCACGATATGTACGTCGTCTCAATTCATCACCTTGTAAAGCTGCAAATTTTATTTAGTCAATCTTTATAAATAAATTTGACTAAATTATTTTAGTAATACTTACAACAAGGTGGAATTTTATGGCATTTTCTTTTGCGATGCAATTTTTGCGGGCATTTCTTACCATTGCCTTTAGAATATACCTAAATTATATAAATCAAAATTATAATGATTCTTATATAATAAACTATAAATTTCATTCAAAATATTACTATACATTTTTTAAATTTTTCTAGAAATTGATTTTTTAAAAATCAATCTTAAAAATAGATTACAATTAATTGCGAATTCGAAAAATAACAGTATTCTTATTACTTTGGATTATATCTATGATTATATAGACTTAGCACTTTTTAAAAAGATTCATAGATTATAAATATAAAAAAATTATTTACTTGAATTTGTCTTGTACTTTCAGTGTACCCACGACATCCTGCACACGCAGACCAATTACTCCAATTAGATATTTGACAATCGATATTTTTTGCAACATTAGATGATTCTATCACTTGACTATCTGGTTGTATGCCTTTGAATTTTAATTTCTCTGTAAAAAGTTATTTTATATATATTGTTATACAAAATATATAATATATAATATAAATAAAAAAATATATATATAATATAATAATATATGAATTATATATAATATATATAATATAAAAAAAACAAAAAAAATTTCAAATAAACAGAAATCATTAAATTCAATATTAATTTATAGATATAAAAACCAAAAACAAAATATAAAACATACAAATTTAAAAAAATTTTTTGATAATGAAATCATTAAAATAATATTAAAATTATTAATTATTTATGTTTTAATATAAATTTTCAATAATTAATTTTCAATGATATTCAATAATGATATTTAATTATATTATTTTGAAATTTATAATGAAAAAAATTAAATTCTTTTCATAATTAAAAAAATGATTAAAACGATTTTTTTTATTTTGAATTATTTTAATAATTTTTATTTTTAAATAAATGAATAATAAAAAATGTATATAAATTAATTTAAAAAAGTGTACAAAAAATAACAAATTCTTCTTTATAGAAATCAAAATTAAAACCAAAAAGATTGATGATTAATTTATAATGCAAATTAATGCAATTTGCTAATAAGCTAATTAGCATCACCATGATGAGCTCGCTTTGTCTTCATGCTGCGTTGTCCCTGCACAGGTATGTGATAACTGAGAACACTGCTGAGGGATACCTTATAATTTTTCGTCATAGTCGATATATTTCCCCTTGATTCTTCTACATTTGTTTTATAAGTAAGCATGCATAGAATAATAATGAAAATTTTGTTAAAAAAACGCAAATTCACAATCTTTAAATAATTACATTTACTATTTTTAATTACGAAAAATTCTGGAAGATTTTCATTTAAATTCTTGAGTTAGTTTGAAATTAGAAGAATAAAAAAATTTATGTTAAAATTTGTTAAAATGTCAAAGTTTTAATTTGTCTCTTAAATAATTCTTATTTCGATTATTAATAAATTCTTAAATAAATGATAATAAAAAATGTCTAAATTATAAAACTTACTTTGAAAATCACCGCAAATCTCATTGCAATATTTTTCAGTTTCGAAATTATTTCGATTTCCATCGCAGCCAGAATAACTAAATCTACGACATTGACCTGTTTGTTTGTCAAAATATACACGTATGATGTTACTATTACATCGTCCTTTCTCCATTGGTTCATTGCAGATCTCTGAAATCAATTCAACAATTTGTAGACTTTTCTTTCTTTTGTTTTTTATAATATTGAAAAAAATCTCATTGTTTCATTAATTATTTTTGTAATTTCCTTTTTTTAGTTTTCTAAAGATAATATTTTAATATTTTCTAATATCCATAATACATATATAATTTATTTTTTTATTCTTATGATTCACGGTATTTAAAATAGTGATTTAAAATAATTCACATAATAAAAAATTTAATCAGAATTTTTATTTTTATGAAAAA